CTCCTCTCTCCTCCCTCGCTGTCTCCTCCGTCTACCTCCTCTCTCCTCCCTGTCTCTTTCTCTCTCCCCCTTGCTTTCTCGTCCACCTGTCTCCTCTGTCTGCCTCCTCTCTCCTCCCTCGCTGTCTTCTCCGTCTGCCTCCTCTCTCCTCCCTCTGTCTCCTCCCTGTCTCTTTCTCTCTCCCCCTCGCTGTCTCCTCCACCTGTCTCCCTCTCTCTCAGCCCTCCCTGTCTCCTCCCTCAGTCAGCCCTGACCGCGTGTGGTGTGTGTATGAGCAGGGAGCTGATCATGGCCCAGCAGCAGCAGGAGTGCTCCTACCTGGAGGATGTGATGTTCTCCATGGAGCAGAACTTTGCCGAGCTGGACAGCGATGCGCGGCAGGACTATCAGAGCACGCGTGACGAGATCAAGAACAAGGTGACTGGCTGGGCTGTACTGTGTGTACTGGGATTGTGCAGTGGATACGGTGGCAGTGGGGCAGGAGACAAGTCTCCTCAGCCCAGGCTGATTCTGCATCCTCCAGTATAAATCCTCTAGAGGGAAACCAGCTTCCTAAGCTGTTTATTTCTGTCTGTTTATTTCTTCAAACACTTGCAGCACGTGCCAAGTTTCAGGTTACAGAGCCAAATGAAACTAAAACCTAGCTGCGCCGAGCCATGCTTAGAATTTCTCCAGCTATACAACAGTCATTGGTGCCCTCTTTTCAAAATTTTTTAGGTCCTCATTTAAAAACTTTCACCTAAAGAAAGTATGTCCTGCCCCCTGATTGTTACCTTTATTAGTGGCAAAAACAGTAAAGCACTTCTTACAATCACTGTGGCTTCATACTGTTATTGAGTTCCATCATATTGCACTGCTTCTAATGAAGCTGACAGTGTTTTCAACATCCAGGGAAACACTCTGTAAATATGTGGCACAGAAAATATTCTCTTCTAGTTGCTTCTAGGTGACAATCAGATAGTTTTGGTGAATTCAAAATCAGAAGTCAAACAAAGTGCAGATACTGGGATTGTGCACTGAAATAAACTATATATGCCTCCCGTTCAGTTTGCCCATTGTCATCTCATTCTACTAATGGCCAAAATGAGCCATGGTTTATTATCTCAAATGATCATACAAAAGCCCCAAGAGTGACAGACTTTGTGCATTTATTGCCTCAAAGGTATATGCAGCTCAGTACTAACTTCCAATATACACTCTGAAAGATGCAGTGCAGTATATGACGTGCACGTGTCCCCATATGGTATCTTAAGCTGTCAGTGGTATAATTCTTAGTGAAACTCTCTGAAGATGCTTTGTTGAACATAACATGTTTTGTTTTCTAATAAGATCACATGTACACCTAGAATGACCAAAACAGAAAAAAACATATATTGTACTTCTCTCATATCATCTCAACACATACAAATTTCTTGATTGTAAGAAATAACCATCATTGCCATCTTGGTGCTCTTTGGGCATGTATATTTCAGCTACAACCCTGCACTGTGGGTGGAATTCAGTAGACAAAAACAATTGACTCTAGTTATGTGCTGGAAAAATCATACTAACTTTGGTCACTGTTACATATTTAGGAAATTTTTATGTTTTTGTCTTCTGTATGAATCTGGTGCACACTGGTTCAGACACTCCTGAATCCTGGCTGTAAGGTTCATGACAAAAAAATTTTCCTAGAGGAATCTGTCTGTCGGTATCCTGTCTGTAGTCTGCAGGTTCTGTCTGCCAGTATCCTGTTCGTCTGTATCTAGGGGAATCTGTCAGTATTTTAGAGGAATCTGTCTGTCAGTATCCCGGATGAATCTGTCTATCAGTATCCTATCTTTCTGTATCCTGGGGGAGTCTGTCTATTAGTATCCTGTCTGTCAGTATCCTAGGGGAATCTGTCTGTCAGTATCCTGTCTGTCAGTATCCCAGATGAATCTGCCTATCAGTACCCTGTCTGTCTGTATCCTGGGGGAGTCTGTCTATTAGTATCCTGTCTTTCTGTATCCTGGCTGAATCTGTCTGTCAGTGTCCTATCTGTCAGTATCCCGGATGAATCTGTCTGTCTGTATCCGGTCTGTCTGTCAGTATCCTGTCTTTCTGTCTGTATCCTGGTTGAATCTGTCTGTCAGTATCCTGTCTTTCTGCATCCTGGTAGAATCTGTCTGTCAGTATCCTTTCTGTATCCTGGGGGAATCTGTCTGTCAATATCCTGTCTGTCTGTATCCTGGGGGAATCTGTCTGTCAATATCCTGTCTGTCTGTATCCTGGGGG